CAGCAGGAAGCCCGGCGGAGGAGCAGTTCTGCCAGAGAGTGGGCACCGCTTCAGGCAGGGTGGCTTCGGAGAGAGCTCGCCAGCAAGCAGCTGCTGCCTGAGAAGGGGACCCCTGGAGGCAGCTGGGTCCCGGGGCCCTGCCCTTCAGAGACGTGGGCCTCAGATCAAGGCCAGGCCGTGAAGGGGAGGGCCAGCCCCCGGAGTCTGGAGGCAGGCAGGCCATGGTTGCTGGAGAGAGATAGAATACAACCAGGAATTTGCCGTGGCCTGGTCCTAAAGAAATAGTGGTGTGTGATATGGAAGGGGGAGACAGTTTGCTAACAGCTGCTAACCTCTGCATATTGCATGGTAGCAGGAAAAGGGCACTTCCACCAACGGTGAAAGAGTGGCGCCTGAGATAATGGCAAAGCTGACGTCTCATTCAAGGCCTAATGACTTGCTTAATAAAACTTCAGATAGATTTGTGGGGAGATGGTCCATGTTTATTATGTACTTGTGTTTGTCTGGGCCAGGAAGAATAGATGGGGATGGTGGTATAAGTATTTTGCATAGGAAATAATTATTGGCTGTTCTGGTGTGCGGATTCCATGTGATTAAATTATTACTTTGATCGAGATGGTCCAGGCTAGGGCAATTTCAGAAGCTAAGCGGGGTCGGCCCTGGTTAGTCCTTGGATGGGAGCAGGGGTCATTTCGTAGAAAAAGAGGTGCAGGGGCTCATTAGCATAACTTATTTGCATATGCCACACCCCCGGACATCACCGGAAGTGTGTCAGAAGGCAATACCCCACCGCTCAGGCTCCACTGGACTGTTTTGGATGGCTAGCTACTTGGGGGGGGGGGAGAACGTGCAGATCTGTCCTCGCGGAGGAGGGAGAGCTTGTACCTGAATAAAACTTGGGTCTCAAAGGTGCCACTGGACTGTTTTGGACCGGGGGGCAGGCTCTGCAGCTTACCTGGCTGCTCCTTGCTCTGACTGAGGGCTGCTGGGAGCAGGGGGTGGGGCTTGTTGCATGTGCCCGGCCCCTGGGCTCTTTACTGCCGGAGCTCCGCTCCTGTGCGCTCCTGCAGGAAATGACCCCTGGATGGGAGACCACCAGGGAAGTCCAGGGTTTGCCACGCAGAGGCAGGCCACGGCAGACCACCTCTGCTCGTCTCTTGCCCAGACCTGGGTGGCCCCCAGGCCGGCCTGATCCCATCAGATCTGGAGAGCTGAGCAGGGTGGACCCTGGTGAGCCCTTGGATGGGGGACCACCGTGGAAGTCCAGGGTTTGCCGCACAGAGGGAGGCAGTGGCAAATGTCCTCTCTTCGTCTCTCACCTTGACATCTCCGTGACGGGCTGCCATAAGTCGGCGGCAACCTGGGGGCTCTTCCCACCCCCACCCCCTGGTCTCATACAATTCCTAGGAGGAGTCACCTGAAAAAGAGCTGCAGGTTCTGAAACCACCAAGTTTGCTTGACGTTGTATTGTCAAAGCCCTCCATCCACTGTGGTTAATGTTATAAAACAATGACTGCTTGGAAATGGGAAAACGTTTCCATAGAAAGATACAGCACTGTAACATTTTGCACCTCGAGCCTTGCTGGCAAGTGTAGAAGCAGATGCATTTTCACTTGATTGAAGCTGCCAAATTGAATTCCGGGGCGGGGGGGGGGGGCCCCCGGTGTTGAACCCCTTGCGATAAAAATGGCGCCTGGAGGGAGACCCCTGCGTCCCTGTGGCCGCTTCAGCCAAGTCTAGAAGGGACGGAGAAGCTCCCTGAGAGCAGCGGAAGAGGGGAAAGGAGCCCCCCCCACCTGACGCCGCCGCTGCCACCCTCCTGTGTCTCCAAGTCCTTCCCCTGATCTGCCAGTGGCGGGCATGGCCCACCCCAGACTGACAGCTCAGGCCCAGCCAGGGCGTTGGC